CTTTGTGATAGCCAAGTCATGCCCCCACTTGTCACTCCTCTCCAAAATACCGCCAAGGGAGCTATATACCTACAAAACGGTGGTAAAGGAAAACAAAGCAGATGTCACATTCCCAGTGGAAGGCGGGTTTAAATATGTTGTGGTTTAAATATGTTTTTTTCCCTTTGAAACTCACATGGAAATTTGGTTGCCACTGTGGAGGTCTTGAAAGAGGCATTTAAAAGGTGACTAGGGTACTAAGAGGGACTGATGCCTTTCCCTCAGGACTGGGTTAATTCTCAAGGTAATGATTGAGTTCTAACTCTGCAAAAGAAGATTGTTTTAAATTCCATCTCTCAAGCTTTATCTCTTCTGCATGTACCCACTTCTTTTCTTCTGTGACACCCCCCACCAGAAGTTAGAGACACTACTACAGTGGTGGATTTTCCAGCCTCCAGAACCAGAAGCCAAAACTAACCTCTTGCATTTGTCAATTCCCCAGTCTCAGAGCACTTGTAGCTGATAGGAGCACTGGAGAAATCCTGGAAGCTCAGACAGGAAATATATTTTCTATGCAGAAACCACACCCAACCTCAAAGTTTCGTCACACCCTGCCTACCAAAAAAGAAGACTGAAAATCAAATGGATGAAAATACTTGGTGATGTGACATAGAAAAAAATTGTAGGCTGTACATGTCCTAAGCCGAAAGGCCCTGGCTTTTTCCCCTTCCAGGCTAAATTCAGCAAGAAGGAAAGAAAGGTTAGGTAGGTCTGCAGCACAAATGATCCAGGTCCCAGAGAGAATTGTTCTTTTTCCCCAGACCTTTTGCTTTCTATTAAGTCTACTGATGTATAACTTACACAAAGTAATATACACCCATTTTTAATTGAGTTTATTGGTATCTTTTAAGTATACAGTACAGTTACATTCATCATTAGGATCTTGTACCTTTAATATCTTGGTTCTCATTTTTTCTCCATACCCCATCCCCTCCCTTCACCCCCTCAATACCCGCCCTATTTACAAGGACTTTTTCTAGTTTTTCATTTTCTCATATTTTTCTTTTCCCTTATTTCCTTTCACCTACACCTTTAGCCCTTTTCTTTGTATTTCACATTATCAGTTATACAATTTGAATCTTATTTACATTTTTAGTTTTTCAAACCAGAGAAACTATTCGGTATTTACACATGTGTGTCTTATTTATTTCACTTAAGAGTGGTCTCAATATGCATCCATTTTCATATGAATGACTCTAGTTTCTCATCCTTCATGGCTGAGTAGTATTCCATTTTGTAGAAAAACCATATCTTCTTTATCATTTTCCAACTGATGGGCAAATGGGCTGTTTCCAAGTTTTAGCTATTAAAAACTGTGCCACTATAAAAATGGGTGCGCATATATCACTGTGGTATGATTCTTTTAGTTCTTTTGGGAAGATACCCAGCAGAGGGATGGCTGGGTCAAATGGAACCTTTAATCCTAGTTTTTTGAAGTATCTCCATATTGATTTCCGCAGTGGTTGCACCAGTCTGCACTCCCACCAACAATGGAGAAGGGTTCCTTTCTCCCCCACAACCCCGCCAACATTTGTTGTGTGATTAATTTCTTGATAGCAGCCATTCTTTGTGGGGTGAGGTGGAATCTCAGTGTTGTTTTCATTTGCTGCTTTTACTTGTTTGTCTGAGAAATGTATGTTCATTTCAGATGCCCATTTTTGAATCGGGTCTTTATATTTGAGGGGGTCTGATTTTTCTGAGTTCTTTATATATTCTAGGTAATAGTCTTTTGTCTGAGAAGCAGCTGGTAAATTTTTTTTCCTACATTGTAGGTTGTCTCTTAGTTCTGTTGGTGGTTCCTTTGCAGCATGCACCCATTTTAAATGGAAATTTGATGAGTTTTGAAACTACAACCACACAAGAAGTCATCACCACAATCAAGCTACAGATCATTTCCTTCAGTCTCCCTAAAAATTCTTGCAATTTTATAGACCATGCTCCACTCCAAGCCTAATGCAATCATTGATCCATTTTGTAACAAAAAGGTTAGATTTGCCTTTAATATAGTTTCATATAAATTCATATAGTATGACCACTTTCAGATTTATCTTGTTCAACAGATGTTTGGTGATTTTCCATGCTACAGTGTATATCAGTAGTTTGTTCTTTTCCTTGCTGACTAGTTCCGTATTCTATTATACAGCTATACCACTAGTGGATTATTCCTTCATCTACTGGAGGACACCCAGGTTGTTTCCAACTTCCATTATTCATAATAATGAATAAAGTTGCTATACACTTCATGCAAGGCCTTTGTATGGACACTGTACCACACCGTTTAGTTAGCAGTGACCCATGTGCTGGCAAGCACAGTCCAGCATCCTAGTATGTCATCAACCGGTAGCAACTCTGCCCCACAAGACAGGAAAAAGGAATGAGTAGCATACAGGGGAAGACATTGCTTCTCTTCTTCAAACCCAAGACCTAGAGCTTAGGAATATCCATGGGGAATGCATATGATGTTGATTTTGTTCCACACATTTCTCTATTTTTCTTCCCAGTATTCATGCATTTTCTCTCACCGAGATCCTCCTCAACTTACTTGCTTTATGTTTTTAATTTAAATTTAAATACTGGAAAGAGTAACTATGTTTTTCATCATGAGACCTAATACCTACACCATGGCTGATGTTTCATTTTGCTTTTAAATATGGAATTTACTTTAATCTAGCAGCTTCTTGAAGGAGTCTCCACCTACAACGACCAACTGCACAGTGATCACTAACAACTCTCTCAGTACACTTGTGACCCGAGTCTGCCAGGGAGATGCCATCTCCCACAAACAATCTGCTGTCTTAGGGCCCTATAAGAGTGAAGGGTCACAGTACCTCACACAGCTCTATCTTTTAGAAATGAGATAAATGAATAAGTGGGCCTGATCCACTATATTTTATCTTCAAAAAAAAAAAAGCAAGCAACCCATATGAATATTATGGTTACAGTAGGAAGCATCAGTAGAAAAATACAACTAAATATGACATGTATACTGACATAAATAAAACACTCCGACTAATGTCAAAGCCTCTTCCTGTTATGAGGAGACAAGCATCTCTACGGAAGGGCCCTCGTGACATGGGACCGAGGCTTCCTGCCAACAGTCACATGAGCGGGTCCTCCAGCCCCCACGGAGCCTTTGGAGGACAGAAGCTACCATCTTCACTGTGACTTTATGAGGCACCTGGCTAAACTGCTCCTGAATTCCCAGGCCGCAGAAACTGGAAAACAATGAATACTGCTTTAAGCAGCTGAATTGTTGGATAATCTGTTACACAGAAATAAATAATTAATATACCACCTGTGCCCTTCATCTCCTCCCCACTTCTACCTATGGGTGGGAAAAGAAGAGAGGAGAGATGCTACTGAGAAGTTAAACTTATGCCTTTCCTATATCAATAACAAGAATTGCTTGAAAATCATCCCATGGGTCATTAACATTTTTTGATTAATTAATTTTAAACTCAGATCTCATCGCTTTCGCACCTCATGGCATTCACACCTGCTGTTCTCTCTGCTGGAAAGGTAATTCTCCAGTTATTTATGTGACTCACTTCCTCCCCTCAGTCTGGTCTCTGCTCACATGTTATCTGCAGAGAACAGCCACTGCTGACCAACCTAACTAAAGTTGCATTCCTGTCATGCTCTGTCCCCTTACCCTGCTTTACTTTCTCCATGGCATTTGTCACCACTTCGCATTATGTTATCTGTATTCATTTTTAAATTTTCTTTCAAAAATATTTAGGGGCACTTGTAGTGGGTCACTGTTTAAGCACTGGGCACACAGCAGGAGACAATGTAAAGTCTCTGCATTCCCTACTCTAATGTATAAAAATATAAATTGTTATCATTTCATCTTGTTTTACTTACTCCTTCAAGAAAAGGACCCATCCCCATTATCAACAGAAGACTCCATGCCAGGTCCCCTGACTTGAACTTTCTACTTTGTCTTTCAGAGAATTTTTCATTGTGCTTCATGCTGTGCTGAGCTAGTTGAACTTGGTTGTTTTTAATCTTTTTTTTCTTTTTATTGTTTATTGGTACATTTTAGGTATACAGTACAGTTGCATTCATTATTGGGATCTTGTACCTTTACATGACTAATCTTGGTTCTCATTTTTCCCCTTGTTCCTGCCCTCCCTTCATCCCCTCGTCCCCTCCCCATTTATTTCCATTTTTTCATATTTTTTTCTTTTGGTTGTTTTTAATCTTAATGAATCTTCCTGTGATAGTTTTCTTGTAGTAGAAATGTCCACTTGACACAAATCCGTTGATTGTCCTATTGCTGTGCAATTTATCTGAATTTTAAAAGTTCCCCAAAATGGGACCAAAAACTTTTGTCACCATCAGCAGCAATAGCAGCAACATCTGCAGCAGCAAATTTAGGCCTAAGAAAAATTTCAAGGCAAAGTTTGTCTTTGGTGTCTTCCCACCTCTTCCAGCACTTTTGCAGGAGTAATTGGAAAATTTGTCCCCTCCAAAACTTCTGTTGAAACTGAATTGGAGGTGAAATCATATTAAAAGGAGCATTTTTTTTTTTTGATCTGCTAATCCACACTTGAGCCAGGGCCATAGTTTTGTTGTTTTCTTTTTCATCACTGAGTTTATTGGTACATTCTAGGTATACAGTACAGTTACATTCATCATTGGGATCTTGCACCTTTACATGACAGGTCTTGGTTCTCATTTTTTCCCTTTGTCCCTGCCCTTCCTTCACCTCCTCATAACCTCCCCACTTACAAACACTTTATTTCCATTTTCTCATATTTTTTAAAAGGAGCATTTTTAAGAGGTAAACTTGAGCTCATGAATAGAACTGAGGCAATGAGTAGAATTGCTGCCATTAAAAATGGTGGCTGAGAGCTGGGAATTTAGCTCAGTGGTTCTGCCACCTGCCTCGCAAGCACAAGGTCCTGAGTTCGATCCTGGTACAAAAAAAAAAAAAAAAAAAAAAAAAAGTGGGTTTGTCCCCTCTCGCTCTCTCTTTTCCTTCTGTCTTCTGCCCTTGGGCGATGCAGTGAGAAGGTCCTTGCTGTACTGTTAACTCCATCATCTTAGATTTCTCAGGCTGCAGGACTGTAAGCCAATAAATACATGTTTATTAAAAATTACTTGGTCTGTGGTATTCTGTTATAGCATCACAAAATGGGCAAAGGCAACCTTTTCCTACCTGACGATACATCTGGTATCTGGAATGACGATTCCATTCCTTGGAGATCTGGCTCTCAGCAAGTTATGTTTTTCTTCCTAAAGTGGCAACTTGCACATCAATAAGAAGCATTAGGAGATGGTGAGGGAAGGGGACGTTGATAGCTCATTGTGAGCTAGTCTTTATTCACCCTCACCAATCATTTCATTATGTGAGGAAAACACAACTCTGGAAGGAAAGGTTCTCCCCTGTGTTTAACAGAGGAGAAACTGAGGCTCAGCAAGATTTCATAATTGTCCCATGTCACCGTGGATGCTGTGAAGCTAATCCTCTGCCTTTCAAGTCTCCCGAGCCTCAGAGTTTCAAAGGAAAACAATTCTAAAGGTGTATTATCAAACCCCATGTCCCAGTGATGAATGTTATCATACTGTATACCTAACATGTACCAATAAACTCAATTTAGAAAATTTGTGAGTAGAATAAAAGGGTATAGGTGGAAAGAGTATAACAAGAGTGATAGTGAGAAGGGAAGATGTGTGTTGCAAGATCCTTCAAGGATCTTTAGGCTTACCAAAATTTAGTGCTAGAAAGGATCTCAAACAGTAACTGCATTAAACGCTTCATTTTACAAAAGTGGAATATTAAGGTCAATGTAGATGAATTCTATTCATTTATATCGAAAGGACTGATAACCCAGAAAAAATTATACATATGTGATTACATTTTTAGGAACTACATTTTCTAATGGTCTTAGTTGGGATAGGGGAAAAGATGACCAGTTTCCCACTTGATGTTCAAACCCACAGACCCATCTCTGGTCATCAACAGAAGTATAACAACTATAATTTTATAATTATGTGGAGGAAATTACCATTCTAAGTAGAGTGTCCAAATTTAGCAGTGTTCACGTCTCTGTTCCTCCTCCCCCTAAAACTGTTGGATAAACAAACACACAAGTTCAGCAGAAGATATGTAAGGAAATAATAAGTAAGCTCATTGAGTAGGTAGATTCTGTTTATAAATCAACATTTTGATTTCTGAAAACTACTAAGGCATGAGATGAAAATACAGTGGATCTCAAAGTACCAGCATGTTCACAGGAGAATATAGTGTGGGATGTGAGTCCTCTTGTGGCCCAAGGAACATGGACTCCACTTTCTACACAAGGAAGATAGGTCACAAAGCTCACCCTTTCCCTGTCCTTTAAATACCACGAGAAATATGCCTTGGTAAAGAGTATGAACATTTGAATGCAATCAGATACCACATTTATTAAACTCCTACTCTGTCAAGTACCATATTACCATTAGATAGCTAAGATTAAATATACACTCCAAAAATTAAATAGTTCTTATAAGTTTGCATGTTAATAATAATTAATACCTTCTGTTTGTGAATGTAGCAGGATAATATTTTGATATATTAAAGGGTGTGTTTTCCCTCGTCGGTGATTCTTGTTACCTGTGAACCTCTTCCCATGCAGCCTTTCTTGGCACAGTGCCTGTGGGATAGGATTATACTACTGAACAAAGGAGGCAAACTCTAGGCTTTTGAAAAATCGAACACTGAAATCTTGGCAAAAACAATATGTTTGGAGGAAAATAGCTCTGGAAATGATCAAAGTCAAATTTTCTACCCCAAAGACAAAATAAAACTAGGAGGAAAAAATGTGAAGAGAAGTAGGAGCAAAAAGCAGAGCAGTTAGACCCGAGTGGGTCACGGAGGAGACACTCATCCTCTGACCCTGCCTGCCTGAGTGCAGGAGAGACAATAGAGTCGCCAGGGGAACAGGAAATGTAAAGCGAATCTGTGGCACCACCCAGCCCACCTCACACTGCTGTTGCCCCAGGTCCAGGTGAGGCATCCACAGACCTCAGGCCCTTAGGTTCTTTCTCCCAGTGAGTTGTGGACACAACAGAGAATGCCTGGCTTAGAAAATGTTATCTACATGGAAAGGACCCAAACCAGCTTGAAAGTTCCCTACATGCCCATGGAGTTCAGGGATGGAGCCAACTATTTGCCAAGTGTCCAAGGGAAATAGCTAAGAGAAACCCAGATCTGAAAGCTCTTGCATTGGGAGAGCTTGGGGTGACTTCTGAGTAGGGCAGTCCAGGATGATACTTCCTTCAGCCGATGCCATATGGCTAATGAGAAGCCTTAAAGACTGTTGTCTACCCCCACCAACTCTCTCCACCTCACACTAATGCATCCCCAAAAACCTCTGAATCAATAAAAATACTCTTAAGTTCATGATCCCCCACAGATTATCTACTTGAGAAGTTACCAGGCTTCTCCCTACACCCAGCCTCATTCATGCACCCATGTGTAACTAGTTATTCTCCCCAGCATCAACTAAATCCCCTGCACTGCAGGCCCAGGTGCTTTTTTCATTCTTAGGAAGACCAGAACAACATTGCACACGCGTGAACGCGTGTGTGTGTGTGTGTGTGTGCACATATGTGTGATAGCCTTCAATGTACCAGAAGTGGGAGAATCAAGTCTCCAGTGACCCCAGGTTGCTGATACTTGAAAATTTAGAACCTGAGCAGGAAATGGGAAAATGTTTGTCTTTCAAACTTTCCTCTTCTCTGCATTCCTTCAGGCTGGCCCTTGTCCACCCCTGTAAAGTTTAGTGCTCATTTCCTTCTTGCGATGTCCTTGTATTATTTTCTTGTTGCAATCCCTAACTCCCAACTCCCATGGCTTCACAGCTAATCAGTGTTAAGTCCCTTTCCTTACTATCTCTCCTCCCTTTTCCACTACCTGAAAGTGCTCTTCCCTGAATACTATATTCCTTCTCTACAGAACAAAAACATGGTAGAATTGCATTTTATTTCCTTCGTGAAGTTCATGGCCAGCCACCTGACTAGCTTTGGACAATGAAATATGGGGCAGGGTTACTTGTTGCTTCTGGTGGGAGCATTTGGTTGCAGTATGTAACAGTACAGTACTCTTTCTCCGGACACATTCCAGATGGGGTGGGCACTGTGGACCTGTTCTCAAAGGACCCCTTAGTTGAGGTGTAACGTAGGCACATGCACAAAGTGTAACATGTAATGTGAATATGAAACAAATATTCATTAAACTAATCCACTGGTGGTTACCGCATCATAATCTAACCCATTTTTACCAATGTACCTGGGCTGTTGTTGGCTTTCAGATTTTTGTCACTTCTCACCTGAGCTCTTAACACATGATATGTGCTTGTCTGCACACAGATCTCAATCTACAAATTATTGCTGGCCTACAATAAGTACAGACATTAAGAACAAACATTTAGAAATTCTGGTATCAAATTGATTAATTTGATGTGTTAAGTCTAATACTTAATGAAATGTTTGGTCTTGTTTTCCTCCGATATCTTAACTTTGTGCTTTGCCAATGGGGGCGCTACAAAAATGTTAAATTGAATCGCAGCTTTATGATGAAGAAGTAGAATTATAGTAGGATTTCAGACAATAGGAAGAAGATCTGGGGGTATTTGGAGCACAAGTCCCTTCCTCTTTGAGGTGAAATCATCACTTATAAGTCCCCAGAGTTTACTCTAGGCCAAAACAAAATTTAGCTCCTCCAACAAGCAGAAAAACTTTCTGAGATCCTTCTCATTTACTAATAAATGTTGTTTTAGGTTTGCCTAAGAGCATGGATACGAATGTGTTTATCCTCTGGAATATGTCTGTAAATATATTGCCTATGAATACAGTTTTTGAAATCATCCATAAATAGCTTGACATCTTGATACATTTGCTTGACAATGTAAGAGGATAATATGATTGATCCCTAAGTCACTTTCTGTTTTCCCCCAAGACTAATTTTCTTTCCTCCCAAAGGTTCTTTGACACATATTAATGTATTTATCGTATCATACAAGAGGCAACACTGAAAAGAAGAATGAGCTGGAAAGAACTGGCTCTAATCCTCAGTACCCACCCCACTTGCTTGCTACTACAGAGGCATTACTTAACCACTTGGTGCTCTAATTTCTCCCTCTTTCTCAGGATAATTTAAGAATAAGTAAATAACATCCGCACTGCTGTGAAAATCAAAATAAATGGTACAGAAGCACTTTAGTGAACAAAGTACAACACAATTATAATTTAGTATTTATACAGAACACTGCCTCATAATGCCCTCAAATTATTTCATGGATAGATTTTCTCCTTTCTAGTCAGGCAGTAAGTTCCTTGAGAAGTATACTGTGCAATTTTTCTTTGTATCTGGTGGGATACATAATACACATATAATTATTGTTTGAAAATTGCTTATATAAAGTTTCTTAACCCCTTCACCTTAAACTCTGTAAACTAAATAAACTTCATACACTGCATGACAAGTACTCAATTCACACTGACAACATACTTTTAGGGTTTGGGCTTGGGGATTTGTAATTGGCACCTGAATTCCTTAAGGGCAGAGTTCACGTTTCACTCCTTTGTATCACCAGCACTGACAGCAGTATCTAAGCACACAGAAGGAGCCCAGTTATGATGGACTGTATTATATATGCTTGCTCCAAACCCCTATGTGGAAGCCCTAATTCTCAGAAGTTGAAGACAGGGCCTTCAGGGAGTTAGGAGTGAATGAGGTCACAAGTACAGCCCTAATCTGATACTGCTGGTGTCCTCGTGAGAAGGACAGACTCCGGGGCACACACTCTCTCTGGATGCAACACAAGAAGGGCCATGTGAGAGTGTAGCCAGAAGGTGAATGCCCTCAGCCAGAAAAGAGCCCTGGACCTAAATCAGCCAGCACCTTGATCTGAAACTTCTAGCTTCCAGAACTGTGAGAAGATAAATTTCTGCTCTTTAAGCCACTCATCCCAAAGTATTTTTTTATGGCTGCCTGAGCTAATTAAGACATCAGTTGATGTCTGAAGATAAATAAATGAATGAAGTGAACTTCAACAAAATACTTAATATTATCTCTACTCAGTAACCCTCAAACCAAAAAGGCAGTCTTCAATTTGGCTTGCATTGGTTTTGGAGAACTTTTCCTGAATCATTTCAGTATTATAACAGCACAGTATAGCTAGGCATTCTAACGGTTTCACAGACATGTCATTTTTCCATCCTCTGTTTAGCAAGCACAAGCAGTTCTTATTCAAACATCATTAAGAGGATTAGGCTGCTGGGGGCAGGCGGGGAGGGGGTGAGAACAGTATTGGCCAGAAAGAAAGGGAAACTGTACTATTAATTGCTCAGAGAATAACACATTATTCTGTAAACAGTCAAGTTAAAACATGGCTGATGAATAAAGAGCTCCTGGATGGAAGAACTATAAACTTTGGCAGGAACCAGTGCACAGCAGCAGTGAAAAGGCCTCATGCTAGGGCTGCCATGGAAAAAGTGACCTCAGAGAGGAATTCAACACAGAAATGTTCCAAGAGAGAAGAAACACTATGAAGTTTACATTAAGTCATTTGATTCTAGGTTCATAAAGCTATAAAGTTGTTTCAGCCAAAAAATACAGCTTACATGAATTTTATAGGCGATTATCTTCCTATTCAAAATGTAGCTTGGAATTCCAAAGCACCTATATTCTCAAAGTCTTTATAGTTTTACGATGTTTAGAAACCCATTCTTTGAAAGAGGCTCAGGTAGCAGAAGCAAATAAGTCAGTCCAGAGTCACTATACTATGACGACCCCATGTTGCCCTGGGCCTCCCCAGTAGAGGGCACACAGATCAGGGACTCCAGGAAGGCACAGCCAAACACAGCCGGGGAGAGAAACCCACACGAATCCTTTCCCTTTCCCCTGCCCCAGCTAGCGGGGCAACTCATTTACAGAAAAGTTTGAGTGCTTTATAGCAGCAGTTCATGTGTTTTACCACTGGTATTTAGCCAGTACAATGAACATTTCAGAGCTAAAGTTTCTTGCTATGTGAATAAGCCATTGAAAATGAAAAGCATAATTTCATATGGATATGAACAAAACCATAGACTATAATAAAACACCCCACTCCACCCACCCCATATCTCAAAAGGGCTTTATTTTTAAATATAGATCTACACTTGGAGCAAAGCATGAATCAAGTCATATGCCAGTATAATGTAATTTTAGAGACCTGCCAGAAAGAAAGAGGGGGTGTGAGCACATAAAACTTATTTATATTTTTATTTGTGCTGCTTCCCACAGATTGAAAATAAATTTTCAAGGATGCTTCTCAAATTTATCTACCCCAAGTCTGAAAATGTGCTGATCTAGCAGTGCCCTCTAGTGTTGAACTGGACCATTTGTTTGCCTTCAGCCAAAAAGTAAGCCACAATACAACCAAACTAGTCTATAATTAGCATCCATTTGTTCAACAAATATTTAATGAAAGTCTACTATGTGACAGTTACTGTGGAAAGTGGCAGGATATAGAGATGTATTTTTAAAAGACATGACTTCTCTTAAGGAGCCAATAGTTTAACAAGGGAGAAAAATGTAAACTCAATTATAAAATTACTTAAATAATTTTTACCTAGTTTTCCCCTAAAACAAGAGACACAGATGGCCGTCTCCCTTTCCAAACTGTGTTGGAAATTCACATTAGCAGGCTTTATACAGAACAACTTCAGCCAAGTACACAGGGAACATTCTGAAAGAGAGTAAACATCCCAGGACTTACAGTGGCACTGAATCCTGGTTTTAATGACTTGAGAAAGTACCTTTCACAGCCAAACCCAAGACACTTTGGATCTCAGTTACCAAGGGACCAGATCTGACATTTGTTAAATTTTCCACTTCTACCTGAAAAGGTAAATTGTTTTCCTAGGACTGTGATGAAAGTCCTCAAACAGAATCCACTGAGGCAGAGGAATGGAGAGACCCTAAGAACACAGTATTTCAGGGTTCTTGGATCTGCAAATTGCCTCCTCCAGTCACATAACATTCTGACTAGGTGCATTTTTAGGTTTCTGGTGAAGCAAAGGGAGTCTATAAAGGAGTTGTGAATACCTTTCAAGAATAGAAATGAAACTCAAATTACCAAAAGAAGCCAGGAGTAACTACAGACCAAGAATAATGTTTCATATCATTTTGTAATGTTTCTAGTTTTTGTTATTTTTTTCCATTCTTGTTACTCCTGTCTCATCAGCCATGAGACCCTGGTATGGGGTGGACTTGTTACTTGCTTCTGTGGAACCCGGCAAAGGTGATGATTACACTACACAGCATTATAAGGTTCATCCTGCCGGGACTCTCTCCTTTGCTGCTTTGACAGAGTAACCAGTTGTGCCGGAAAGGCCCATGTGGCAAAAAGCCAAGTATGGTCTACTGGTGTCTTGCTAAGAACTGAGGTCCTCAGAAGGAATGGAATGATTCTGACAACCACAGGAACAGGGAAGCAGATCCTGTCTCCACCAAACTTCAGGTGAAAATGTCGCCCTGACCAACCTCTGCTGCATTCAACGCCCAGATCACTGACCCATAAAAACCACAAGATCACAAATGTTGTGCTGTTTTAAGTTGCTAATATTATTATTCAATGATGGATAACAGAGATTTCAAGGTAATTTTTACTTTAAAATAATTTTATTACAAAAATAATACAAATACAAAATGAAATATTGGGGCCAGGGATTTAGCTCAGCAGTGCCACTGCCTGCCTCTCAGCACAAAGTCCTAAGTTTGATCCCCGGTACAAAGAAAAAAAGCAATACTGAGGAGAGACAAAGTCATCTATTTTCTGCCCTACTGGCCTACTATAACCACAGGTAATTTGATTTCCTTTGCCATCTTTTTATTATGTTTTGTATCTTGCTAGTTTTATTTAAGATAACATTTTCTGTTTTTTATCATATTCATTATCTATTTTAATGAGTATAAACAATACCTTTCATAGATATCTGATTATTGACTATTTACCTAGGCTAGGGGACAGCAAACTATGGCCTCAAATTTATAAATAAAGTTTTATTGGAACACAGCCATGCCCATTTGTCTACAGCTGCTTTCATGCTTCAAGTAGCAGTATTGACAGTTATACAAAGTACATATTCATGTTTTGGCCTTCCAAAGAAAGCATGCTGACAGCTGCATGAAACTGTAAGTGACTTTTAATTTGGCCTATTAAAGGTAATGTTACTTGGAAAATCTTTGTGTATATAATTTTTCATACTTTCCAATAAAGGTAGAATAACTGGCTCTAACTAATAAAAACATTTTTAGGGCTGATACTGCCCCTACTCTCTCTTATAATCTCCTAGCTATGACATGACAAGGATTGTGGTGGTAAGAATGGAAAGGAGGACCAGTACTCTTGTAGACAGCATTTCTCTGGTTCCCGTTAATGCAGGGAAGTAAATTTACACTTTTTATGAGCATAATTAGTTCTGATTTAAAGTCAACCAAGGGCTGGGGATTTAGCTCAGCGGTTCGGTGTCCTGCCTCGCAAGCACAAGGACCCGAGTTCGATCCCCGGTACCAAAAAAAAAAAAAAAAAAAAGAGTTATTGCTAAAGTCAACCAAACAGGGTAGTACAGAAGCGGTAAAGTACAACAGGAAAATAAACCAATGGAAAGAAATCTTCTACTTTCTATGAAGGATGCAAACGCAGGCAAAGGTAAACTCTTCAGTGTCAAAGTGCATCTGAAGTGCCACTCAAGCAGCTAGAGTGGAAAAGGCAGTGGGAGAGCTGAGGGAGGGAAGGAGGGGCGGTTTCTACAATGACCTAGCAGTGGCAGCGAGAATGGGATGACAGAGGACACACACACGTTCCACCCCCTGAAGAAAACTTCGACTTACCCTGCCTACAGCTGTACTTAAACAGTATCTGTTAAGGAAGTTCCGTAGCAACTACTCTGTATTTGTGAGTAATGCAAATTCTTCGACCTGGGAAAATTTTATTCTACAGGAAGAAAAATTATGGAATAGGACCAATTAAGTCAACCCTGAGATAAAATCTGAGTCAGTCTCTGAGATAAAAGATGAAGCAGGCTGATGGATCTCAAATCCAATCTCTCATTAACAATAAAAGCACCAAGAAGTGTTGACGTCATCTTCTAAGGGAAATATTCTACAAAATAAAGGGAAAAATATTAGGATGGACCCTTTACCCAGTAAATAATGAAAGTGAAAAGCAAAACCAGAGATATTTAAGATAATCATCCCAATTATATCAACAAAGAATGTAAAACATTTATTAAAATGTTCCTGTCAAAATGTCAAAGAAATTAGTATTTCCTAAATAAATGTTCTTTTAGCCTTTACATTCAACTTCAATTACTCACTAAATAATGAAACAGATGACAACTTCATGAAATATTCTGGGGAAGTATGAAATTCACTATACAGTAAGAGAATCAAAATACTTTTGTAAAAATAATTATAAAGATGTTACTTTGTAAAAAATATAAGCAGTTTTATGAAGTAGGAAAATCAAGCCATTTTTTCTTGGAATTTTCATATGGTAAGGGAAGCGGAAGTTCTATGAATAGTTTGATTTGCACTTAAAGTCATGTCATAATTTTCTTCCTCTTCCATTGTTTATTGTCAGTCACTTCAAAACTGACCTGAGGATCTGGCAGCATAAATCCATCAGTAAGTTTATAATAGACTATTGTAGAATCAGACTCCACTATGGCCAAAGTAAAAGACATCGGCAAGTCTGGATCACCTTGCAATTTTCGAGATGCCTTCAAGATCTCTCTTATCCTAAAAATAAAGAAACAACAGATTTAGGAGTCACAGTCCCCAATTAGTGGTAAGATAATATGTTGTAAAATCTTGAGGAAAAGTTAGGTAATTTTGCTAAAGAAATGTCTGAAGGCTCAAATGTATACATTTAAAGTTGTCTTCTCACACAGTAAATAAAGACTATCTACTGACTTCCAGTCCTTTACAAAAACATTCACCTTTCTCTCCTGATCAACATACAAAATGGGATACTTCACAGGATTTTGTGCATCTCGGACCATGGCTACTAATTTTTAAATTTTCCACCTTAGTACCTTACAGTGGAATAAGTTGTATTCAGGTTTATTATTTTTAAAAATAGACTGCAGTAAGTATTTTCCTCATGTTTTTACATGGGGTTTATAATTACTACCTTTAGGACTGCCACCTGCCTCACAAGCACAAGGTCACGAGTTTGATACCCAGTACAAAAAAAAAAAAAAAAGATGGCTGTAAGAATCAACGAAGCAGCATATATAAAAGAGATATGTAAAATCTCAAGTCCTTGCTGAATACCAGTATTAGTACACAGTGGTTACACTAGCTTTGCTACTTTGCCAACTGAGGCATAATGCATCCCCCCCATGATTATTGTTAAAAACAAATACTAATCCAAACATACTAAGGTATACTGTGCTATTAGTGGAAGTATAGAAAATAATGTATTTTTGAAATATGTATCCCGAATCCCTCAAAACTGACTTAGTCCTTAAACAATAATTTCCACCTATGTTGAGTTGTTGGACAGTGACTTAGATTTTGTTCATATAAGTACTTCAGCTTAGAGATTTAGATACATTCAGATATTAATCAGAAACTTCATTACTCAACACTGATGAGAGTAATACCCTGAAAAAAGACAGCGTACTCTGATTAGTTCATCAATGCAAACCTTTTAGTATAAAATTTTTCCTTCTTCAAAAGTGGCAAACTACTAGTCATAGGAAAGATCAATTTTATAGGCTGTCCATCTCGAATTTTTTTCTACAAAGATGAAAAACAACAAGCTTTCCAGAAATTGGGAAGCTGATGCAGGAGGGTCATCATGAGTTCCAGGCCACCCTAAGCAACTTATTTCAAGGCCAGCCTGAACTACATAGCAAGACCTTATATTTTTAAAAAGAGGAAAAGAACAGACTATTAAATAACTGAAATTTTAATATATCTAAATCTTCTGTTGTCGGTACATATCCCAGTAACTTCTTAGCATGCAATATACATAAAACAGTACATAATGCACATAAAACCACTGCAACGCCACAAGTTAAATATAATTGCTCTGATAGACTATGGTGAGAACTGAAAACAGAAGAAAGGGAAACCTTGTAAGACAACTCTACACATTTTCTGTTTCTCAATATTGTTTGAATCAAGAGGGGAGAACAGGTGTGTTTTTTTCTAAGTAAACTGTAAGAGAATTCTAGCTCACATACTGAAATTTCAGATAGAAATTTCCATCTCATTAACTGATCTTTTTTCATACTCTAATATTATGTTTTTAAAAAGTTATTTAGTATAAACAGCAAAACATTTTCAGACTTACTCAAAACACTCATGTGGGAGACCTTAAGGTTTGAAAATTAGCTTAGTCTTGTAAAGGGGGCTTTGTTTTCAGAGTTGAGGGAAATCACTGTCAGAAATGAAATGAAAGTTCCCATCTCTGAGCGCTTGTTTACACCACTTGGCAGTGTGTAGGGTATGTGGGGGGGACAAGCAATGAATCTTCACAGTAATGACAGGGCAAAATAGTTTATCTGCTTCTGTTACCTGGGAATTCTTACAAAGTTTCTTGTTTAGGATATTTTCTAGTCTATTTCTCAACATTATGTTTCCCCATTCAAGAACTTTTTGCTTTGTTTCCTTCATAGGACACTGTATAAACTCATAAAAATGCTTACCCTGCATATTTAACACAGTGCATTACCCCTGTACAAATGGAAAAAAAAATAAAATAATAAAAATAAAAATAAAATTAAATTTCTAGACCAATATGGCTGTCCATTTCTGTACAATGCCAACTCAACACAGTAAATTGGGATAACTTTTTCCAAAGTTGAGCGCACCATTAAAGTTTCCAAAAATTTAAGTTATATGTATATGTATATGTATATTTATATAAAAAGACCAATAATAGCAGTATGTTATGCATCAATAGCAGCAACAGCTTTTCCAGGTTCTGCAGTCATCTGAACAAAATTATAGACATTCAGCACATTCCATTAAAAAAACAAAACCAAAAAAACAAAGAAAATAATAATATCCAGAAAACAGCACAGTTCTGTTACTGTTGTGGAACCTGGCACCATTTTTTTTTTATTAGCATTTTAATCATCCTCTGGAAAGAGATCATTCTAGAGTAATATCATTAAATATAGCTCTGATAAAGCACGGTCACTACTACGTATCATAAAGCAGGTACAAGATATTTTACATTCACAGAGGTATGATTATGATACAGTACCATCCTAACATGTAAGGTCATATCTACGTGGGTTTGATTACAGAAACTAATACAGTATTCTCTAAATAATGGGAAAAAAAAATAAGATAAGACTACAAGAGCAAGAAGCAATTTAAATATGTTCAGGGACCATTTTCATCTTCAGAATTAAGGATTATTTTAATCTTACATCATTGCCTTTTCTCTTTTACTTTCCTTTTTAGTTTTATTTTAGGATTCCCTATTTTTTAATGTTCATACACAGATTTCTTTAACTGAACTACCGAGTAGTTTCTCTGGTGTGAAAAACTATAATAGTACACAGGATCCTAATGAGATAATTAATAATGTGAAATAGGAAGTAAAGGGCTAAAGGTGTAGGGAAAGTGGGAAGGGTGGGGGAAAGGAAAAAAATATGAGAAACTGAAAAAATGGAAATAAAGTGTTTGTAAATGGGGAGGGGAGGAAGGGGTGAAGGGAGGGCAGGGACAAAGGGAAAAAATGAGATCAAGACCTATCATGTAAAGGTACAGGATCCCAATAATGAATGTAACTGTATTGTATACCTAGATTGTACCAATAACCTCAATGAAAAGAAAAAAAAATGCTTACCCTGCCTTTAACAGATTGTTTCTTAATGCATTATAATAATACTATCAACAACAAAAAAGGTTCTTAAGTTTCAAGTTCTAAAGTTCTCCTTAAAGAATCATACACAATTGCAAAGATGCCAAGAATGGAGAAGTATCAGCAGAATATTATACATAATCTCACTTTGTCTCTAGTAAAATTAAAATCTTAATTTATAAGACTATATATAGTCTTATATATTTATATATATAAGAAATCTATATGTGAAAATGCCCCATAGATTAACAATAAGAATTTCAAATTTTCAACTCAGTTAAATCTTAAGGGGAAAAAAAATCACATTTAAAGAAATAGATTACTGTTGATTAACAGTAATAAATTTTGATATTTATAGCAGATGATTCCATCTTATAACTGTTCATAGATGAGCTCCACATACCAAAACAGAAAGGAGTGATTCTACAGCTTTATATAGCCAACTTGACAACAAGTGTGACACAAACACTATTTATTTAGCACAGTGAATGCTATTTAGCTAACTAATATCCTTAGTCCAAGCTACTTAAATGCTTTAAGTCGTAGCACTGATTTTCTGTAATGATCCTAAAACAGAAGAAACTAAGTAATCTCTGGGAATTTACAGTGATGATGAGATGTTGAAGAAAATACTACTTTAAGCTAAATACCTTGTTAAAATAGAGTGCACCACAGATTAAAATTAGTATTAATTTCGAAGCACAGAGGGTAGTATTTTCTGCTCTCAAGTGGCCAAACTTGTACACGCTGAAGCCTTATCAATATAAGGCACCAACTCCTTGATCTGCCTCGTCATGATATAAGTAAATGATATACCATAATACAAGTCTGAAACACAGTGCAAAACTAACTCAGTACCAGAAGCACCAAAGAGGCCATATTCATCTACAAGTTCAGTCCCAAAGAAAAGTTTCATGGGTAACAGAATTCCAGTTATGCCTACGAATTCCTAGTTAAAAAAAAAAAAATTGTAAAAATCAAGCAGCTCTAAACTCAAGGGGCTCTACTGAACAAGCAGTGTCCGTGCGGTGACTCTACTCAGCGTGGAGACATTCTGCTAAAATAAATCTGGGTCTTTTCTTTCTTTTTTAGGATAAGACCAAAAAAATATTGTTTAAATTGAAAGAAGCTGCCAGATGTAGAGGTTTCACCAGCAAGTAATAGATTTCTCCAACAGAGGTAAGCTGAAGACTCAGATGATATAAAGGGAAGCCAAGTGACAGAAGTCATTTTATCAGTTACTATACATCAGGCCCCAAACAAAGTGTCCATGAAAGAAATTTAGCATACTATAAATATAAATTCATAATAAAGTTTATGCTTTCAGAAATAATTTTAAATTACAAGGAAATAATAATGGCACATCTGTCAAGAAAATAAGTAGCATTTTAGTACTAAAGCCCGTAACAAAGAATATCTCTGGTAATATCCTGAAGAAATCGATTCCAGTAATCTTTTATTCCACCATTAGTATAGTCCTTTTGCCAAGACAAAAAGAATCAAGAGATGGGGGAGGGGAGAAAAAAGAATTGAGTGTCCTACGTACATATGTGTACCAACTCCCCACAAGGAATATAATCATTATATAACACGAACATGTACCAATAAAAATAAAAAACTGGAAAAAAAGAAATTTCAAATTTAAAAATAATGAGATACCATTCCACCAAACAGAGTAACTAAATCCTTCCTAAAAACTAATAATCATGATTCCAACTATGTAACATTCTGGAAATGTGGAAACCACAGGGAAAGTGAAAAGTTCCAAAGCTGCTGGAGTGGAGGCTCCGAGTGAGCAGAAAGAACAAACGAAGCACCAGCAATTTTTAGAGCACTGAACTATTTGTATGCAATGGCAGATACTTGACATTATGCATTTGTCAAAAAATCATAGAATTATATAATACAAAGG